GGGGGGGGGGGGGGGGCTGGGCAATTTCTAAAAAAATTCCTACACAGCAAAAACTGTAAAAAAACAAATCGTGTAAGGGGAGCCATGGGGAAAAAAAATAAGTGCTCCTACTATCATTATTTCAATTTTTTATTTTCTAAAAAAATTCTTGCACAAGCTATTGCCGGCCAAAAAAAATCATGCACAGCCTAAAGGTTAGAAAAACATTTTCAGGCCCCAGAAAACTACCAAACCCACCCCCCTTCCCCACCCCCCTCTACCCCCAACCCCCTTTGAAAAAAATAATGGTCTGTCGCCTTGTGTTGTAAATATCATATCCCATTGTGCGATATGTTTCTTTTTAGGTGGCATTGAAAAACAATTGAATTTTGACAGATATGCTTGCAAAGTAAATAACCTTAGTCAACAGTCTCACCGCGTGACCGAGCCCCTTTAAACATCACAAATATGAATTCTTAACTGCGTACTGCGTGACATTACCGTGTGCTCGGGGTGGAGAGGAACTGCCTTTTGAAAGAGACAGGGATGCTCATCACCTCGCTTAGGGGTCTAAATTTTGGATTTTTGGTGTCCACTTCAGCTGGTAGTGTGTAGTTTAAGACAATAAGTTGACCACAAATACACTAATTTACAAATTACGTTTGCCACTTACGTCTGCTTACTGCTAAGATGATTTGGGTGTCCTATTAAGCCTGCTATATTGTACGCGTGGTGGTTAACTATTTGAAGCGGTGCACTTTTTTAACTGAAAGTTGACGAGGTGAATGAAGCAGCTTAGTTTGCTATCTTTAAAGTTAAAACAACATAAACAGAAAGCAACTATAACTGAACACAAAGACTATGATACATGGTGTGACATACAAGGATTTTAAGGTGATCAAGTGAAACTTATGGCTTCTCTTGCACATTGTGTAACAATGAATTGTTTAATTTAATTATTATCATTTTTTTAAGAAGTTAAAAATTACCAATTGTAGACGACTAAACAGCTGGTTATTCTAGCACTAACCTCATTTCAATAACTTCGTGATTTTCTGTGTGACCTGCTGGTTTTGCCCTTTCTGTTTTAAAAAAGATAAATTCAAACTTAAATAATTATAAAACAAAAATGTATGTGTCAAATTACTTGAAGAAAGCACCTAATACATCCCTGTTAGCCAATACAAACTCAGTTTGGAAACAAGTACGTTTTTCGCAAATCCCTGCTGAAAAAACCTTAACAGTAATTGCAATTCTTGTCGGTTGTTCACTCAGGAATAACAAACAAGCCTTCCAAATACAAGCCCAAGAGTGGGTCGGAGCTTGTACAGACTGGAGCGATGGTAAATATTGCAATTGGTACTCGTTTTCTCAGAAGCTTCTGTCCTTGTACTAAAACCAAATCTCTTAGAATACTTCGCGTTACTTAGGAACATCCCTGGAGTTTTTTTGATTAGAGGAACACTGAGTTTGAGGCATTTTCCATGTGTTGTAATTAACCATAGAAACTGATTTCATTGATTCCTGGCATTCAATAGCTTACAAGGACTTTTCGAAGCCCATTGCAATTTTCTTTTTTAACTCTGTGGAATATAACATAAGTAACTATACTCACTCATGTAACAGTCATAACAGAAGTCAACATCAATGCAGTTAAGGCAGCGGTATTTCCTATCTGATAGGTATTGCTTGTTCGACAAGATCACACCACAGCCATCACACAAACTACCCACAGGAAAGTGGTCTCGGAACCGTGCCACAAACAGATTTAGTCGCTGGGAAGAAGAACAAAAAAATGTTGAGATTATAAGTTAACCTTGCTAAATAAATAGTTATATTAACAACAGTATGGTACTGGTGGTAATCAAAGATTAGAGCAGTGCGTCCCCGCGAGTACATTGCATGTTTGGTCAACTTTGATGGCGTTCGGTAAAAAATTTGATCGAATAACGATCTGCACATCACTTTTATAATTCCCTGACTTTTCTCTGGTAAAAATAAGATTTCCCTGACCAAATAACTGAATACAGAATGTCAGATCTAGTGGCGGCTCCTGGCCTCAACTTACAGCCATCCTTTTCAACAAAATGATTTTCTTTCTTCATTAAGGAAAAATAACGTTGAGATCCAAGTGACCCCATATGTTTCTTCCAGCCTTCAATGGTATTAAAAGAATAATAATAATAATAATAATAATAATAATAAATAATAAATAATAAAAATAATAAATAATAACAATAAACGAATCTTTAAACAGGATTAACCCATTAGTACTTGAAAATATTGTTATCATAGAGGTCCTGTACGATTATAAAAAGTTAAAAAGGTGAAAATACAAAAAAGTTAAAGAGTTCAAAAGCTTACGAATAAAAATTAAATCAGCCATGTTAAATTATTTCAATTTTCCATGACTTTAATTCAAAATACCAAATTTCCCTGACCATTTCCAGACCTGTGGCCACTCTGTTTAAGAGGAATTTGATTGCCTGGTTTATAAATAATGATACGAACCTTTCGTTGTTGGACTGTCTGTTCCTCATTCCGTAGGCGATGGAAGGAAACATAGTCCTGTTTGGCCATCTCCAACCAAGTATCGTGATCTTCATATTGATCCAGTTCCTGTTCTGTTTTCATGTCCTTCACATCTTGCTCAGTAGTTTGGGCTATGGGCAATAGAAAAACCTTTTTAGAACTAATTGGATGTACTAACTGACTCGTTAATTTTTACACTAAATTCCACCTTAAAAAACTTAACAACTTAACCTTCATATTGGTTTTTCAATTTATTAATGAAGTTAGTTTCCTTGGTTGCACCTATAAATAACCTTAATCCCCCTGAGTATCAATGCACACCTCTATTAAATCAGCTGACACCTACAATGTACATTATAACTTGCATTATATCAAGATTCTTGCTCAGTTGCAATGTTGATATGTCAGTGATCTCTTTCACTACTCTGCTAGCCTTCCTGTCATCTTTCACCCATGATAACTGTGTGAAGATCACGTCTACATGAACGGCAGAGTTTGAGTCCCATGGGGTGATTTTAAACTTACTCGTAATATTATGAATAGCCTACAGCTGCCTTTGGCATTCTGTAAAGTCAAAGGCCGACAAAGGGTTTTGCAATATAGAAACCAGAAAGAGGACTTGTTATTAACGGGGTTTGGAAGTTCAGGTAGTTAATTCATCTCATGTATCATGACATCAACGAAAATTATATACTGATGTCACAGAATGTAATGTTTTGTTGTATAATAAAAAATTAACACCCAAAAAATACTGACGTCACACTGACTCTAGCCTCAGCGACACAGACACTCTTTGCGCTCATCACACAATCTTTCCTCTCTTGGAGAGCAATGCGTGACACGACAAACATCTGCGTAGGAGGTTACACTGACTCTAGAGTTCCACCTCTACATTTTCATTTTTATATCATCTGTTTTATTACCTCATTCATGTTGTTTTGCAGTGTGGATAACAAAAGAGCAATTTTTTTTTCACAATCAACAAACAGCTACAACCACAAACAGCTCAGATCTTTATGAGTTGTATTTGATATGCTTGAGGTAGCTGCCCATCAAGTAAGTTTTAAATCACAACACCGTAATTAACTTTCTTCACCAAAAACACCACAGTATTTTACTGAGCCTGTGACAAACTCCCAGCATGCTTCATAGTTAACATGCTCAATCCAGAACTATTGCCCCTAAAATAGTACCTGCAGTCCTGCTTCGTTTAGCATCTGGATGGTCACTCTGTGAATGGTCTTCGCCTGTTGATGTGTCTACAGACATGTCAGAGAAAACCTGATCAAATTGACCATCCTGAAAACTTAACACCTGATCACCAGGGGCAATCATGGGGATGTGCCCATTAAATAATTGGTGCCCATAAAGAAATAATTGTTCTTACAACAACAAACTTGCTCTTAAGATGTAAAAAGTTTTACAAATACACTACTGCATTTTTTACACCACTTGAAACTGCGGATATAATGTAATATGTCCACAGAAACTCAAATTCTGTCAGTGCTACAAATACATAAAACCCTTGTGTGTGACACACGGTTTTATACGAGGACTTTGACTTTATCCGAGCTGCACTGTAAGTGCAAGTTAAAGTAAACGCAAGTTAAACTTCATTTAAACCAATTGGCCCGAAATAACAATCTTAACATTGAGAACAGAAAAGTACACAAACCTTTGACGATCATTGATATTACAAGCCAATTACTACTGATGATGGTCACCACTCTAGAGTTTTCCCTTTGAACTGCTGAGCAAATACAACAATACCTGCAAGCCTGGTTCGTTTAGCATCAGGATGATCACTTGAACATGGAAACTCTCTCTTTGAATGACTATTTGAAGTCTCCTCCCCAGCTGATATGTCTGCGAGAAAAAAAAAAAAAAACTTTTTCAAATTTAACTACATGTATGCTGGTAACAATGATACACAACAGTTGAAATAGAAATAACATGACGCACTCCTCCGGAATTTCCACGAGTATTATGTACACCCCCTATATCCTCTGGAAAAAATAGTTTTGGCAAGAAAGTGTGTTAAAGTTAAAGCAAACACTCCAACCACTTATCAATCGTCTGCATTGCATGTCACTACTGTTTATTCTCGATCCATCGAAACGTCTCAAGATACACACAAAGAAAACCTACAGCAATTTATTGAAACATGCTTTAAAAGAAAATATATAAAATGGTAACTTGTCAAATTACCTTCCTATACGACTATGTCCCTTTGTAAATGTGGTACAATTTTGGTTGAAGGATTGGTGAATGTAGATGAAATTGACACCACACTTTTATCCTGAACACGATTTCTAACACACTCGAGACAAAAGCCAATTTTACAGCAAAATTACATATAAATGGACAGAAATAGACACGAACAAGAAATTCTCAAGTTTGTGAAATCTAAACATCATGTCTAACTTTATAAAGAAACTCATTTTCATGAAAGAAATCGACTGCTGCTCAACAGGTTTGAAGACCAATGCAAAAACAAACTAGACTAGTTACCAGTGCTTTTCGGTCCACAAGGTGACTCCATGTAGACTGATAACAAGTAATGGCAGCCATTTCCAGGCAAAAGCATGCTATACGCACTTGTTTGCATCCAAAGTGCTTTTTGAAGAAATGCGATTAAAATACAAGTATTCAAGCTACTATTTTTTCATGTGAAAGATCTACTTAGTAGGTGAGAAAGGATTTTTGAACAGCTAGATCGGTACTTGAATCCGTGTTGAATTGAAGGACATCTGGAAACTAAATCGATCATCCAACCCCCCTCCCCTCCGGAATTTCTTTGGTCTTTGATCCCCCCACCCCTTCCGAATTTCCAATTCCCTCCGTGGTGGGGGTATGAACCACGCAATACAGTAACATACTTTTCACTAAATATATGATGCAAAGCAATGTTCCTTAATTCAGGGCTGTCACTTATTTTTGAAGTAGGCTGGGAAATGAAAAAAGTTGAGGTTGGGGTGTGTCTATTTCACAAATTACTGACTGCCCTGCATCACGAAGTTGTACTGTAGGAAAATAAATCATGTAGTTTCCTTACAACAAAATTCTTTGGCCACATTATTTAAACCAACTCTTGGATGACACAAGGCATCGTAGAGGTCATGATAAGGTGTAGCCGAAGTTGTTGTATTTCTCCAACGAAGTAACATCTGAAATGGTTNAAGATGTTCAGCTGACTGTCTTGCACTGGGTTCAAGATGTAAATTATCTATGGTTCAACAAAATACCTAATAAATACCTTGGGTCTGGGATTGAGATTCTTGGTTTGAACTGCGTCCCCCATTATTTTCCGCTGCTGACATTGTGACAAACTGGAGCACTTAGAGACTTCCCTACAAACAAAATACAAACAAACAAAACTCAATGACTACAGAAACAACAGAAGTAACCAAGTCACTTAATATTGTACTTATATTCCCTTGGAGTGAATAACAACAGTCAGTTTACTTTTTAAAGTCATACATGTACATGTAGACATTAGTGCTAATGGCCTCTCTT